ACACCACTCCAGGCTTTCCTTATACAGAAGATCAAAGTCGAAGTTGTGAGGTTGTCGAGAAAACGTACAACGCTGTTGGACATGCAGTACAAGATCGAGATATTAGCTTGCCTGTCACTCAAAATGGGAGCGAAGAAGACGATGATTTTGATGATTTTGGCGATTTTGCTGGTGTTGACGCGGAAGACGCAGAACCGATCGTGGATGGTGGGTACTTTTTGATACAATTTTAGGCAAAGCTTTTTTGTTTATTTGGGTATTATGCGTAGGACTCCTCTGAGAGGATTTTTCTTTCTTGATTTTTCTAAAAAGGGACATGCGCTCCTTATTTTAGTACAACATGATAGCTTTGGATTTCTGTTACAGTGATCTTTTTTGCTCCTCCGAGGCGGAGTCTCCCTATTTTCCGTTTGAGAAATTGTAATGTGCAGGTTTTCCTAAACGTTGTCTTTCACCTTTTCCTCCTTGATTGGATGCAATCCATTCGAATGTTCAGCAAGCAGATTGTATTGCTTTGAAACACTACAGGGTGGTAGTATCGAATGCAATCTTTTCAGAAATACATGCTGAGGAAAAAGTTGAGCAAGCAGGTTTTGAGTGGAACGCTTTTGAAAGGAACGATGATAAGGAGGATCAGGTATGCACGAGTGGTTTTTACGCGAGTTTAATGCTAGACAAGTGCAAGAGAATGTTTTTAAAAACTTGATCTTTTGCTTAGTGAAAAATGAACCATCCAGTGATTTCCTTCATATTGGCGTACTTACATTTCCTTGGTAACACTCCTTGATATTATCATGAAGCGGCGAAAAGATAGACTGAAACAGATCGTTGATGGTGCACTAGATGCGCCTGCGTTTTGTTTCTCACAGAATTGAACAAGTGTTAGTCTGTGTGATATCTTTGAGTCCGGATCCATTTTTGATGTTGTTTCGACCAGTGGTTTAGCCTCTTTAACGTTTTAACATCCTTTCTAAATTGTGTCGATGTCAAATCACTAATGAAGATTTTTCATTTACGGGATTAATCAAAGGCTAAGTATGATACAAACTGCTTTTTTAGTGTTGACATACGTAGTTTTGGAACGCAAAATTTGATCGAATGTCTCATGCATAGTTATTTTTCGCGAATCAGTTTGATAGCTGTTAATCTCTATTTTGAAGGTGCAGGCGGGAAATGCGAATCAACCAGATGGTTGGAATGCTTTTGATCAAGGCAACGCGACAGAAGGTGTGTCTTGATCTTCCTTATCGTGTTTTTTGGTGCTAGTGATGTTTGCAGACAACGAGTGGCCAGCAGATTTCCAAGATGCCGCCATCGTACAAGACTCCAAAAGTGGTGATCAGTTTGGCTCTGAGAATTCCAATCTGTGTCCGGTTTTGGATGATTTGTTTGACTCAATTGAGCTTTGGAACGTTGAAAGCGAAATAGGTGGTGATGAGGTACTCATGTTTTTTTGAGTGATGATCCGGAATCCGGATTCCATGGAGTCTCTTTCTTCAGGCGCATGACCTCAATGCCGTGCTTGATGCTGATGAACCTCCGAAAGCTGAAAGCGATTCTAGTCTTGATTCAATTTCCACTCACCGGTTCGTCCTATCCGTTCTGAAGCTCATTTCAAAGATATTTTTCTTTCATTTGTAGGAGTTTCGATCTTTGGTTTGCTTTACGGATTGTCGAAGATGCATTAGCTTTGAAATTTGAATGGAAAGGCTCTGAACACAGTGAAAATTTATACAAAGCGCTCAGAGTTGACCCGGTGAGTTTTGATTATAAAGCTGATATGTTGCAGTTCCTAATTTGTATTTTTTAGAAGATTGCTGGACGTGGGTCTTTGCCCCCTCTGTCTTCCTCAACTGTGCTTGAACCAACACCATTTACAGCGAATGGAACAACGTAAGTATTTTCAATTTCCGTTTGTTTATTCACAACCCTTTTTTCGTTTTTCTTACATCGTGTTCTGCCTTTTTTTACATTTGAGAAACAGAGGTGTGATATCCTTTTGACTGTGTAGCACGTTTTGTTTGGTACCGCTTAGGCACCCACCATACTTGATCCTCTTGATCCTCTTAAT